GAGTAATTTTCATAAAATACCACTTTCATTTTCAGATTTTTCTGTTCAAAACTCTTCATTGTTTTCTCCTTTTGTTTACAGAAGAAAAATCCTAGCATTAAAATGTCAGTACAGGGGCTCCTGGGTGGCTCAGTGTTTACGCATTGGCTTTCAGCTCAGGTCATGATCCCAGGGTTCTGGGATTGAGCCCCACATCAGGCTCTCTGCTCAGCAGGAAGCATTATTTTCCCCTCCCAACCCCCGCTTGTGTTCCCTCTCGCTGTGTCTCTCTCTGTCCAATAAAAAAATACTTTTTAAATCATGTCAGTGATTTAAAAGATTAAATCTTTTAAAATCATGTCAGTACAGTCTAGCTCCAACCTGTCTTTCTCTTAATTTTCTCTATGTTATTCTCAATACCCATTAAAATAATTAGCTCACTACTTTTGTGCTTTTGCCAATAGCATGCTCTCAACCTTGAATGCCTCTCCCCCTTTACCTATACAACTTCTGGCCATTTTTCAAAGCCATATCTTTTGCTCTGGCTGAGGGTGACCTCTTCTGACTGGGAACCAACTGGCCACAGTTCATTTCCACCCTGACGTTGCTTTTTATTTTTATTCATCAAACATTTATTTATTTGAGAGGCAGCAAGACAGGTTCAAGAGCTTCAGCAAGTTATTTAACCTCTCTGTGATTCACCTTGTTTAAAGGAGCATAGTAAATGTTGTGAAAAATAAAGTTTATACATTAAGTTTTTTAGCACAATCTTTAATACAATTCCTGGTATATAGCGATGTTCAAATATAGCTACTTATAATGATGATAATGGAGTTTTTGAATACTAAGATGAAAAGAATTCCTGTCCTTCAAGAGTTTTAATTTAATCTAAAAATATATTAACCTCATTTAGATTCTTCACGTTCTGGGTTTAGCAAATAACTTTTATAATAGGTATTTGTTTGACATCATCATAACTTAGGTTAGCAGCAGGGTTGGACTGGGAATTACAGTTATAGAAGCTGAGCTGTCAGTTTAGCTTGTACTCTAAATTATTCAGAAATATGAGAAGTCTGGGGCACCTGGCTGGCTCAGTCAGTGGAACATGTGACTCTTGATCTCAGGGTTGTAAGTTTGAGCCTCATATTGGGTGTAGAGATTTCTTAAAAATAAAATCTTTAAAAAGTATATAAAATGTCTACAAAACAAGTCTGTCCATGCAGTATTTAGGAAATATGTTTCTTATGCTTTGAAAATAATTATATTTTTCCTCTTCTAATATCCAATGGAAGAAGGGTTTTTTTTTTTTTCCTCATTAAAATTTAATCTATTTAGGACCAGGAGCTCCAACATCCATTCCAGATGACTTTCTTGAAGAATCCTCCAAACTGCTTTCGGACTCACAAGAACACATTTTACCCACACAATCTCAGGATCCAACTGTTCACCAAAAACCATCCAATATACTTCTCAAGGAGATACCAGTGAAGAAAGGTACTTAGGAATAAAGATTTCCACTTGAAATAAGGGCATAAACTAACTAGAAAAGATGAAAACTCTTATGATTACCAAAATGGTAATCTTGTTTGAATTGGATTAGTTTGTCATATTGCCTAAGTTCCTTCACATGAGGCTAGACTTTGATAATCCGAACTCAGTAGTGCAACCCTTCCTTAGGCAAGAATTTATATTTAGCTCAGAGAAGTGGCTAACTACAGACTTAGGATTTTTTAACAGTGATTCTTCATTTTTAGAATATCAATAGGTTGTGTTTCACATTCAGGAAGATATGAATACTTCTAGAATGCATTTCATTTGGTTGTAACTTGCATTTGAAACACCAGTAGACTAACCTTGAGAACTTTTGAGATCTTTGGGGACCGTTGCTATTAAGGAATTTATTGCTTTTCAGGTTATAACCTCTCTCATATATTAGATTAGAATACTCTACTTGCTCATTAGTAGTAATGTAGCTCACTGTCTGAGCTTCTGACATTTTTTTCCTTTACATCTAGTCATCTATTCTTTTAATTTAATATTTTCAGAAATATCAAAATGTCAAGATTCATCAACCTTTTTGCATGCTAGCCCTCATGGTGTTTCCCAGACTCCTGCCACCATCTTCATGGAGACCATACGTTTCTTGATGAAAGTCAATGCTGTCCAGGTCAGAATATTTGGAAAAGGGCATGTAGATGGAAAGATTTTAGTGGACTACTTATTCAATCCATAGTGGTATCTTTCCAAGCTTTCATCTGCATGATGCAGAAATCAAATATGCTTTTGAGAACATACTCTAGGCCTAATGGTGTGAACATCCAAATTTGAACCACTGTCTACAGAGAGCATCAGAACAGCTCACTGCAAATCTGTTCCCTCAGAATACCAGCAGAGCAAAATTGGACTCTAAAGGCTTATGTAACCTGATATTAATTTATTATCAGAACTCATATTATGTGAGTGTTGGGGGTTCACAGGAGCATAATTATATCTTTCTTCCTTTCTAGGTAGTAAATGTGGGGGAATAAAAATACTAAATTTTTTGAATTTGTATAATTGGGCTGGATATGTGACTATCCTTAGATTTGACTTACCCATACAGTCACAGATAGAACTACTTGAGAAGAAGAAGAGCATCCTGTGAGGTCTACCTACCACATGGGAAACAAGAAATATTTCCATGAAGCAAGTAATAGGAAAGAGAGCAAGATCCAGGAACCAGGAGAGTTGGCGCTGATCCTGCAGAGTGTAGTTTCCACTTGAGGGTGGCAAGCTCAAGAAAGGGCAAGAATTATGACCTGACTAGGAGTGGGCCACATTAAACAGGAACTTTTAACACATTAACCTTTCCCAGTAGAGAAACATTTCTGTATCCCAGATTAAATAAGTCTCTATCCCCACCACCCCATGCAAAGAGCCAGAAATATAGGTATAGGGAACAGCTCCAGAACCTCCTCCCACTATTTTTCTAAGAAGGTATAAGTGTTAATGGGAGTTTCTATAGGATAGGCTAAGATGGGAATGGAGGGAGAAGAAAAGTAGAACTTCCCCCTCTGCTTAGTAAGTACATCTGACTTTGTTAAATTTGCAAACCTTATATAGCATTAAAAATAAAGAATAGCCCAAAGAGTAAAACTGGCAAACATAGATGAGAGTTTGTCAGAAACAAACATTTATGTTTCTAAGATCCTGAGCCTAGAATTTTAGAAAAGGAGGTTTTACCTCACTAAGTTTCTTCAATAATGGTAGCTGCCTGAAAATGTTAACTCATGTGTCATTGGAGTGGTTGATGAAGAGCTTTTGTTTGCTCATAACATACATGCAAAAATTCATCTAGTTTTCTGAACAGCAAGATCAGAATTGTTCAGTACTACAGATTTTTAGTTTGGAAATGTCTGTATTTGGTGACTAAGTGAATAGTGGGTAATGGAACCATGATGTGCTGAATCTTAATAATTCACCTCTAACCTTTTGAAGTTGGTAATCGTTTCATTCTATACTATGTTTCTTATTCATTATTATCGGGCATAATATTCAGCTGCAAGAGCTATGGAATTGACACAATGCAGCTATTATATACTCCTTATAATCTGGTTTTTCCTCATAGTATGTGCACAGGGTGCTTGCACATGAGCTGTTATGCCCTCAAGGAGGCCCCAGCTGCGAGTATTACTTGGTGCTGGCCCAGACACACCTTCTCAAGAAGGACTTTGCCAAGGCAGAGGAATACCTTCAACACGCAGCCCAGATGGACTACCTGGTAATAACTTTTTTCTAGAACCTCTTGAGTATAGTTTGGGGGAGGGGCAAGCAGGCTTTCTTAAAGGTGATGATGCCATATCACAGGTAGATTTCTAGTTACTAGAGGTGGAGGTCTTCAACTTCCAGTAAACTCATCTATTTCCTTCCATTTGTTTTTCTCAAGCAGTTATGAGTTTTGCAAAGGGCAGAGAAAAGGATAAGGATAGCTCTTTAGCTGATAATTGATCTATTTCATATTTTCTGGATTTCTTCTTTTTTTTCTCACTGTGAACATTCTCTTGGTTATGTTTGAATGTTTTTCTTAATATTTACCCCAAAGACAAAATAGTTTTGAAAAATGCAAGAAAGAAATGAGGGAACAGATCTAGAAAAATACCTCCCAGTGCAACTGAATGGCCCTTTTTCTAACTGAGTGCTATTAGAAAAAGAAGAAGGACTTAGTCTAATTTTAAATGTTAAACAAAGATCATTAATGGGCTTTTAAATACCACCTCATCCCAAGTACTACTTGTTCTTTACCTTCTCAGAACCCTAATGTCTGGGGCGTGAAGGGCCATCTCTATTTTCTAAGTGGAAATCATGCTGAGGCCAAGGCATGCTATGAGCGAACCATTAGTTTTGTAGTGGATGCTTCTGAGATGCACTTCATCTTCCTGCGACTGGGACACATCTATCTGGAAGAGAAAGAGGTGAGGGACAGAGGATGGAGAGTAACCATGTAAAAAAATCAGGTCATGGTCGGGGACCTGAATTCAGTTCAAACATTAACATCCATCTGTGTGGACCCAACACAGATATGATATCGATACTTTTATATCCAAAGATAAAGTGATTTGACCAACATTAGATAAACTAGTAATTAATAGAAGTAGGATTCAAATCCAGGCGGTCTAATATTGGAGTCTGTGGTTTTAACCATTATGATACTAAAAAGTTGTGTAGAACTCAATAAATGTTATCGTAGTTAATATTTAAGGTAACTTTCTTTTATTAGCAGTAGTAGAAACATTCTTAGCTTGACTTAACTAATGGAAAATGTCAAAAGAACTTCTTCAACCTTCTTCCTCAGCATAAAGTTTTATATTTAATTCAGCTGAGGCTAACTCCATTCCACAGGGAACTCTAACCTGACTCCTTTGTAATTGCTCTCCATATTTTAGGAATCACCCCCAAGATCTTCTAAAAGAAACTTTGGGGGCACCTGGGTGGCTCACTGGGTTAAGCCTCTGCCTTCGGCTCAGGTCATGATCTCAGGGCCCTGGGATTGAGCCTCGTATTGGGCTCTCTACTCAGCAGGGAGCCTGCTTCACCCTCCGCCCCCACCTGCCTCTCTGCCTACTTGTGATCTCTCTTTGTGTCTAAAAAATAAATAAAATCTTAAAGGAAAAAAGAAACTTTCTGTTATGGAAAATTTCAAATACATACAAAGTATGGGGCACCTTGGTGGCTCAATCAGTTAAGCACCCAGCTCTCCATCTCAGCTCAAGTCTTGATCTCAAGGTTGTGAGTTCATCACCTGCACTGGGCTCCTTGCTGGGTGTGGAGCCTACTTAAAAAACAAACATACAAACAAACAAAAAACACAAATAAATACTAAGTAGACAGAATAGTAGAAATGAACCAATGTGGACCCATCATCTCATATCAACAATTATTAACACTCTGCCTTTTGACTTTGGGCTTTTGTTTTGACTTCATTCTATTTCTACCCCTAGAACACCCAATTATCTTTCTATTTAAAATAAAGGGATGCCTGGGTGGCTCAGTGAGTTAAGTGTCTGCCTTCAGCTCATGTCATGATCCCAGAGTCCCGGGATCAAATCCTGCATTGGACTCCCTGCTCAGCATGGAGTCTGCCTCTCCCTTTGGCTCCCCACTGATTGTGCCTTCTCTTTCTCTGACAAATAAATAAATAAAATCTTTATAAAATAAAGCAACAGCAGCAACAAGAAGTTGTGATACCTTATAATTTAAGTATGAAGGCCCCCAGAGACTTAAGAAAAAAAAATCATTATCCCACTGTAGTGAAGTAAATAAGAAGTGTTCTTTCTGACATCATTGCAAGCTACATCTGAACCCAGCTTCTGACTTAAATAGTCACTAGGCAAGCAATTTACTGGGCAAGCAATTAGGCTATTTGCTGAGGCTTACCTATAGTTACGTCTCTCATATTGGAGATGCGAGATAAGAAGAGGTATCATTCTTTTGGAAGTTTGTTTCTTGAGTTTTTCTGAATGTTTCCTGTATTACTCAGCACTAAAAAGAAATAAACTAGCAAACCATGAGGAAACATAAAGGCAGCTAAAATACATATTGCTAAATCAAAGTAGCCAGTCTGAGAAGGCTACCTACTGTGTGATTCCAATTGTATGACATTCTGGAAAAGGCATAACTATGGAAACAGTAAAGAGATCAGTGGTTTTGAGGGGTGGGGGGAGGGAAGTGATGAATAGATGGAGGACAGAGGATCTTTAGGGCTGTGAAAATACTCTAATAATGGATGCATGTTATTACACATTTGTGCAAACCTATGGAATGTATAATACCAAATATGACCGTGGACTTTAGGTAATGATGATGTATCAATGTAGTTTCATCAGTTGTTACAAAGGTACCACCCTGTTGGAGGATGTTGATAATGGGAGAGGCTATCATGTGTGGCAGCAGGGAGTATATGAGAAATTGCTATACTTTCCTCTCAGTTTTGCTGTGAACCTAAAGCTGCTCTTAAAAAAACTTGTATCTTAAAAAAAATAATAATAATAATTTAAGGGCTCATTTAACTCAGATTGGTCTTGAGCATAATTACAGAAGCCCCATGACTATCCTAGCAATATAGCGTTTGAAACTTCCAGAAGAACAATAGCTTAGTGGTGCTTTCTTTCTACAGTATGAAAAGGCAAAGAAAACCTACATGCAAGCCTGTAAGAGATCACCTTCATGCCTTACCTGGCTAGGACTGGGAATAGCCTGTTATCGGGTAAGAGTTTAAAGGCTTGAGACTAGGCCTGTGAATATAGCTGACCTTGATTCCTTGGGCTTCTAAGCATCCTGGGAGTTTGTAATGATGGTGAAAAAAGTTACTTTTCAAAGGTGTTCAGTAAACTAAATAGTCAATCCATACTGTAAAAATAAAAGTCTTCAAAATCCCACAAAAATCTGAACCAGGAAGCTATATAATAAAAAACTTCATGTTACTTGGTACAGAAGCTCATAATTTTATGATGTTATCTGTAAGGAAAAAAATGATATGATAAATGAAGAATTTACTCGATTAAAGAAATTTATTGATGCTTATTAAGCTCTGTGGCCCTTCTGGTTCCAGGAGGAGCTGCTTTAGCTTCTGGGAGATCTTTTGCTCCCCACCCCTAAAAACTCTCTAGCCACCCTTTCCTCTATTCTTACAATCTTTGAAAGAGGCATGCAGTGTGTTGTTCATGTCCAATTTCTTCAATGTATTCTTTTTTCTTTTTTATTGTGTTATGGTAGTCACTATACAGTATTCTTGATGCTAACCTCTTATTTTCTCCCTAGTACCTTATTCTCTTCATTTTGTCTTTTTCTTTGGACTATATTTTTAACCTTTCCTTCTCAAACAGCTCTTTCACCATTCTTTCCCCCTTTTTATTATACAACAGTGGTAACAGCCAAATGAGTTGCCTGTATTCCCTGCTTCCTCTTCCTTATTGCTGTTCTTTTTTAACCATAAAGGTGATACATGTTCATTATACAAAATTTAGAAGATAGAAAATGTAAAGAAAACATAAAAGTATCCATAATCCAACCACTCAGTGATAACTACTATTAACATTTGAATGCATTTCCTACAGCCTTCTTCATACATATATGAAAGCAATTTTAATGTATAAAACTGTAAATAATATATTTACTGCTTTTAAATCTTTTTTCTACTTAAGCAGTATAGCACTGATATCTTTTTGCATCACCAAATAGTCTAAAACATGATTTCTGATGCCTTCATTGTGTTCCCTGGTTTGGATGTGTAAGTGAATTGACCATGTAATATTTCATACTAACCAGGACACTTCAGAGGATGGAAAGGGTGCTATTAATAATTACACTGGGACACAGGGACTGTCCCAGGTCAACTGGGACATATGATCATTTTTACAAAGGCTATGTGCTCCCCTGTTCTACCTTCCCAGAAAGAATATAAAACATAGCTGTTAGAAAACTGATAACACTGCCAAAAGTACCAGAAACTAGCTCTACAGACTATTCAACATAAGTCATGCTTCTGCTTGTTTTGAGTACTTTAAATAATATTTTCATTAAGATAGAAACTAAAAACAAAACAAAAATCTTTTTTTTTTAACTTTGTGTAAGTTTTTATTAAATTACTGATTAGGGACCACCCCCCCCCCGCACACACACAATGTGAACTTTCTGATCCAACGTACAAAAGAGAAATCTTAATAAAAGTTTAAGTTAAGCCTCACCCCTAAGATGTCCAAATAATCCCTATTCCCCATAAGTATTTTAGTCATACTATACCTATGTGTGGATATATCATAATTTTTTTGACCAATCAATCATTATTGGGCATGTTGTTAGTTTCTACTATTATACTATTGTAGATGAAACTGAGATAAACATTCTTATACATAAATCTCTGTGCTTAATTCTTTTTATTTCCTTAGGATATACCTTAATGTAGAAAAATTTTAAAGTCTTTAAATTATAGTGTCAATTTGCCTTCTAGAAAGAGTGTATACTGATTTATACCTTGCCAGGAGGTATGAGAGCGCATTTCACTGTTACCTCATCAACAATGGGCATTATCATTTGCCAATGTGATCGATACCTTAATTTGCATTTTCATCAATAATGAGGTTGAAATATGGGATACACATATCTTTCTACTTGTGAATTATCTGCTCATATCCCAGGTCCCATTTACCTTTCATTTCATTGCTATCAGGCTTATTACTTTACCACTTTACCCTTACCACCTTACTGGCACTTCTGACAGAAGTTCCCTTAACATCCTAATTGCTAAATGCCATAGATACTTAGATGAATTTCTGGCACTTAACCCTGTTGACTGCTTTCTTCCTGAAGCCCTCTCCTCCCTTGACTTCCACAATACTTCATTCATATCCTTCCAGTTCTATGCCTTCTTCTCTGATACCTTTCTGGGCCTTTTTTGTCAGCTCCCACTCTTTTACCTACCATAATTGTTGAGTCCTCCCAGGTTCTACAGTCAGCCCTCTTGTCCTGTCAGCACATTTATTTACCCTAAGGAAAAAATACATCTACCCCAGTGGCCTAAACTACCACTTGTGCCCTAATGAATTCTAAACCTTTAATGCATAACACTTTTCAAGTTCTGACCCTTATATCAGACAGTGTAATGGACAGCTCCATTTTCATGGTTCCCTAAACACCTTAAAATGTGCATATCTGAAATACAACCTAACTTAACCCTGAAGGATTCTCACATTCCTTAGGCCTACACCTTCTCCTGTATTCTGTCTTGGTAAATGGAGCTGTAGTGAACCTGATCAACCAAGCCAGAAACTTAAAAGGTATCCTAGTCTACTTCTCCTGTTACTTTTAATTAGGCATCAATATCCTATTGATTTTGTCTCTTCAATGTCTCTTGAGTCTATTGTCTCCTCTCCATCCTATTTTTATAGCTCCAATTCAAGCCTCATACCTTCTTCTTCTGCTAGCATGATCTCTTGTCCTACCTTAATCATCTCCCACATTGTTATCAAAGTGGTCTTAAAATATGCAAATATTGTGTTACTCCCCTACTTAAACTCTTCAATGGCTACCCCTTGTTTCAGAATAAAGTTCACATTCCTTTGAACGAACATATATCATCTGGTGCCTAACTCTTTAGTTTTATCACTTACTTTATTCTCCCTGATCTCTGTCTTTTCTCCAGTCCCACATGCGTACTTAAGATTGTTTCCTGACCACACCACACTCTCTTGTGCCTCCAGGCCTTCGTATATGATATTCTTTTTCCTGGGAATGCCTTTCTTCACCTTGTATAGCTAATAGACTCCTACTTATCCTTTAGGACTCACTTTAGTAATATTTCCTCTCAGAAGCTATCCTTTAATTCCAGGGTGCAATTATTCCCATTTTCCTATGTCCCTCCACTAGATCTATATATGCTTTTATTATAGAAATGTTTACTCTGTGTTGGAACTATTTATGTTTGGATTTTCATTTATTTTTTTTTAAAGATTTTATTTATTTATTTGACAGACAGAGATCACAAGTAGGCAGAGAGGCAGGCAGAGAGAGAGAGGAAGGGAAGCAGGCTCCCTGCCGAGCAGAGAGCCCGATGCGGGGCTCGATCCCAGGACCCTGGGATCATGACCTGAGCCCAAGGCAGAGGCCTAACCCACTGAGCCACCCAGGCGCCCCTGATTTTCATTTATTTTTTACTTATCTGTCAGTGAACTCTTTGAGAGGTTATATTTTATCATTTTATTCACAGTACCTAGCATACTACATGTCACAGAATAAATCCTTAGCAAGTATAATTGATTAATTAACATTGATTGAATGAAATTGGTTGAATAATGAATCAATACACTAATTGAATATTGAATCAATATCTTAAAAACATTTAAAGTGTGGACCAAAGTATGGGCATTGCTGAAAGGCCATTCTTCATTGCCTAGAAACTCATAATTTCCTTTTCAAAACAGAAAAAATGAAGAGGTACTATATTGGTGAAAGGAGTGCCTTATTTCTTCCTTAGGTGATCTTTTGGAAGATTTTATAAAGCAAATTCACTTTTAGGAAGGAGCAATGATATCCATACATCCAGAGCTCAGGGAGCATTTTAGAGCCTGAATATTATATTGATTGCTCAAGATCTTATTAATAATAACTAATATTAGTATTTTGACAGGTTAATAGGACTTTAACCTTAAGAAAGGGATTGCACAATGTAAAGGAAAAAACAACATGTATCTGACATCCTACTGTGTGTGGGGAAGTCATGGAATGATGCACGCACAGTAGTGAATACTTCTGGTTTTCCAATCCTGGCACCTGAAGCTCCATGGTTCATGGATACCCTGATGGAATTGCTGTAGAGGGAAGGAGGAAGAGAGGGGTGTAAGTTGAGAGCCTAACAGGCAGGACTCCAGATTTCTCACTTGCCTGTTTAATCCAAACAGTTCTTCTTTTAACAGGTTCATATACTGGGCTACAAAATACAATTTTGTTTGAAGAGTTCTGAGCTGAAAATTTTAAAAGGAGAAAACTGTTTGTATAGGTCACATTACCAATGTTATTTGGACATAATGTTTTCAACTAAACTGACTCCAGCTGGCTTAAGGGAAAACTGCTCTGTCTTAACACACTTTTCTTTTTCTATCAAGCTGGAGGAGCTCACAGAGGCTGAGGATGCTCTCTCTGAAGCCAATGCGTTGAACAACTACAATGCTGAAGTATGGGCATATCTGGCTCTCGTCAGCCTGAAAGTGAGTGTTTGTTAACCCTACACAGTGCCCTTTTAGGGCAAAGATGTAAGAAAGTGAGCAAGGCAAGAGATAGGTAGATGGCCATTAATGCATGGTAGTTGTGGTTTAATGAGCTTCAGATTTGGTCATTATACTGATGAGGAAGGAGAGGTCCAGTCTGAGAAGCTGCTACTTGGAATGTGCTAAAAAAATCCTACATTTGGGGTGCCTGGATGGCTCAGTGGATTAAAGCCTCTGCCTTCGGCTCAGGTCATGATCTCAGGATCCTGGGATCGAGCCCCACATAGGGCTCCCTGCTCAATGGGAAGTCTGCTTCTCCCTCTCTCTCTGCCCCTCCCCCTGCTTGTGCTTGCTCTCTCTCTCTCTCTCTCAAATAAATAAATAAAATCTTTAAAAAATAAATCCTACACTTACGTGTATTTGTCTGGAAGGGAGAATCTAAAAATGAAAGCAAACCATTTGGACTTGTTGGTCACAGGTGAGCAGGAGTGGGGTGGGCCAGGGCTGATCTCCAGCCAGAGTTCTGGGTTAGGTGGCTTCCCTGTGGTACTTTCAAGCAGCTCTGCAGGCCCCAGGCAGGGTACACTAACTAAGCCCAGTCCTGCACATCCCCTTCCTCAAGATGAAGGATGTGGTAATCAGAGTCTGGTCTAGGACTTGGGTTAGGGAAGAAAAATGGGGAGCCATGTAAGAGCAGTGATTGATGGTGCAGTGGGATGGCAGATCATGCTAGGAGGAAATGAGCTGCTTGTTGGACAGGTCTCTTGACCTGCCTGAGCTGTCAAGCCTGGGACACTGGTATGCATTCCTTGTATAGTCAGTCAAATTATGCTCTGGATCTACAAAAATTTCATACATATACTCTGATTTCCCCCTTTATTAGTTATGTATAGCTTGGAAAAGCTATATAAGAATCCACTGATAAAAACAAAGGTAGACTAGGGGCACCTGGGTGGCTCACTTGTTTGTGTCTGACTCTTGGTTTTGGCTCAGGTCATGATCTAAAGGTCATGATCACAAGGTCATAAGATCTAGCCCCATGTAGGGCTCCTCACTCAGTGGGGAGTCTGCTTGAGATTCTCTCTCCCTTTCCCTTTGTTTCTCTGCCTCCCCCACTCACTCCCATCTCTTTCTAAAATAAATAAATAAATCTTTAAAAAAATAAATAAAGGTGCAAACATAAATAGTTTACCAAAAAACAGAAATGGATTATTCAAAAATCTCCTGTAGACTAGAGCGGTTTTTCCCAGAGAGCCCATTGTTTTAAAAATGGGCCTGATAGCTACAAAGCATCTTCTTTTTTTAAAATTTTTTATTGTGTTATGTTAGTCATCATACAATACATCATTAGTTTTTGATGTAGTGTTCCATGGTTCATTGTTTCCATATAACACCCAGTGCTCCATGCAATCCATGCCCTCCTTAATACCCAATACCAGGCTCTCCCATCCTCCCACCCCCTCCCTTCTAAAACCCTCCATTTGTTTACCAGAGTCTATAGTCTGTCATGGTTTGTTTCCCACTCCTATTTCTCCCACTTCATTTTTCCCTTCTCTTAATGTACAAAGCATCTTCTTTATTATTGTGTGTTTTTTTTTTTTCCCTCGGAGGCCAGAATTTGGGAGAGATAATTTGGATATTTACCTGATACTAATCAGGAAATACATGTTATTTATATTTAAACTATATTTAGTTATATTTACGAACCTCATTCCTGAATTCCTTTTTCATTAGTTTTCATTTCAAAAAATAAATACACTTTTTATTTATTTTTTTAAAAGATTTTATTTATTTATTTGACAGAGATCCCAAGTAGGCAGAGAGAGAGGAGGAAGCAGGCTCCCTGCTGAACAGAGAGCCCAACATGGGGCTCGATCCCAGGACCCTGGGATCATGACCTGAGCTGAAGGCCGAGGCTTTAACCCACTGAGCCATCCAGGTGCCCCAATAAATACACTTTTTAAATGGGAATATTCTTGTATCAGAATATAAGCAAGGTCAAAGACCATCAAAGGAGATGCTCTACTAGCCTTCCTAAAACAGTCCTTCCTGTTAAACTGTTGGCTGAGGGTGCTTATCCTTGACTTTTATGGGAGATTAGGTAGGGTGTATTGTGGGAGTTTATGATAACTCCTTTATCTATAGAAAATAACTCTCCCATACTTGGGAGAGTACTTGACTAAATAACTTGTAAATCAGCTTAAGATCAAATGGGGAATAATAAGAGTGGCTTTCAGTTTTCCAATGGCCAATATAACATCAACTGACAGGAAGTCTTATGACTATAAGAGAAATGAACAAAATAAAAATGACCGCATCTTGTCTTTGAACTAAATATCTTGAGAGATACCTGAGTTTTTACCCCAACTCTGCCACAACTAGCTATCGGATTCTAGGCAAGTCACTTAAACTTGCTGGACCTCGATTTCTTCATCTTTTATTTTATTTTATTTTGAAGATTTTATTTATTTATTTAACAACAGAGAGAGATCACAAGTAGGCACAGAGGCAGGCAAGGCGGGCGGGAAGCAGGCTCCCTGCTGAGCAGAGAGCCCCATGTGGGGCTCAATCCCAGGACCCTGAGATCATGACCTGAGCAGAAGGCAGAGGCTTAACCCACTGAGCCACCCAGGTGCCCCGATTTCTTCATCTTTTAACTCAAAGGGTCAAATGGATGATTTTAGTATACTTCCCATAGAAACTGCTAGATTAAATAGGAAAAAAATTAAGGCTATGTAAGATTTGAATAAAAACAATAAGATTGAACTCAAACACCAATATAGAATGCTACACTTAACCATTAGAGAATATGTATTCTTTGCAAGTACGAATGAATTGTTCATAAAACTTGACCATATACTAGACTACAAAGAGAGATTCAACAAATACATATAGATAACACTACAGTGAAATTATAAGTAAACAATTATATGATAGGCCAGATTGGGGCCCTGGGTGGCTCATTCGGTTAAGCATCTGCCTTCAGCTCAGGACATGATTCTTGAGATTGAGCCCCACATTGGGCTCCCTGCTCAGCGGCGAGTCCGTTTCTCCCTCTCCCTCTGCCCCTTGCTCTGCTTGTGCTCACACACTCTCTTTCTCAAATAAATAAATAAAATCTTTTTTAAAAAAGATAGGCCAGATGACATACATACATTTATAAACTTGAATTCATACTTGTAATTAATAAGTCAAAGAGAAAACCATATGACAATTTCTTTTGGTAGGTAGAATTCTAAAGATGACCCTCCCCCCTCCACCAATATTATTCCATCAAATACATCTATGGGTATTGCTGTCAAGGGATTTTGCAGATGTAATGAAAGTTGCAAGTCAGTTGCCCTTAAAATACAGAGATTATCTGAGTGGGCCTGTACCAATCAGGTGACTCTTAAAAAGAAGAGTTTTTTTTCTGGCTAGGGGCAAATGGGGAAGTCAGAGAAATGCAAAGCACAAGAAAGATTCAACACACAACTGCTGGTTTGAAGATGGAGAGGGGGCACATACTAAGGAATGTGGGTGGCCTCTAGAAGCTAAAAGTACTCCCTACTCACAACCAGCAAGGAAATGGGGACCTCCATCCCACAAGTACAAGATTGAATTCTGCCAGTAGCCTGTATGTGCTTGGAAATAGATTTCAGGTAAGTACCCAGCTCTGCAGACACCTTGATTTTGGCCTTGTGAATCATACCAGACCCTGACCTATGGAAACTGAGATGTTAAAGATGTATTGTTTTAAGCCACTAGGTTTGTTGTAATTAGTTACACTGCAGTATAAAACTAATACAGGCCTCCCAGTAGATTCCCCCCCACCATTTTTTTAAAAAGATTTTATTTATTTGAGAGAGAAAGACAGAGAGCATGCACACAAGGTGAGAGATGGGGAGTGGTTAGAAAGGGACAAGATGACTTCCTGCTGAGTGCAGAGCCAGACACGCAGAGCCAGATGCAGGACTTCATCCCAGGACTCTGGGATCATTACATGAGCCAGTCAGATGCTTCCCACTGAGCCACCCAGGTGCCCCGATTTTTTCCCCCAGTTTTATTGAGAAATCATCAACACACATTCTGGTGAATTTTTATAGTAATGGCCCCCATTTAATTATGCTTTCATGTCCACACCCTTTACAATGTGATGTTGCCACTCCTCCCATCAAGAAGTGGATTCTCTTCATTTCTCCATCCTTTGGAATCCAAGCTGCACTTTCTTTGACCAGTGGAATATGACACAAGTAATATTGGATGAATTCTCAGAGTCTAGGTCTGTAAAAGCCCTGCAGCTACTGTTCTTGTTCCCTTAAAGTCCTGGGATCATCAGCTGTGAAGAAGCCCAGTTAGCCTATAGGAGGCTCAAAGTCCGCCTGAAGTAGAACTGAACCATCCCAACCAATAACTAACCTCTATTTGAGTGAGGCCACCTAGGACCTTCGAGCCTCCAGCCAAGTTTTCAGAAGACTAGATCTGCATGAGTGATTTCAGGAAAAGCCAGCAGAAGAAAGGCTCAGATTGCCCAAAGAATTGTGAGAAATAATACATTGTGTTTTAAGCCATTAAGTTTTAGGGTAACTTTTACATTTCAATAGATAATTAAAATGGGAATTAAAAAAAACAAAACAAAATCACTAAACTTTGGAATTATGGGATATAATTAAAGCAATATGGAGAGGATAATATATAGCCTTAAATACATATATTAGAAGGTTCAAAAATCAACAAATTAAGCATTTAAATCAAGAAATTAGTGAAGACCAAAGAAGGGATAATCAAGAAAATAAGGAGTAAATACTTGAAACTAATATAATGTTATACGTCAGTTATATCTCAATAAAAATACAAGGAAAGAAAAAGAGAGTAGAAGTAAATGAAATTTAAAACAAGGACATAATAGAATTAACAATATTATAAACTTCTTTTTTTAAACTGGTAATTAGACAAAGCTCTGTGTGACTGGTTAAGGATTTTAAAAAAGAAAGAAGGCATAAATAATGAATTTTAGCAGT